GGAGCCTCTTTACATAGGGAATGCCCCTTTAAGGAAATGACATTTGGGTTCAGACTTGAGTCATTTAAAATTTTGAAAGATGGAAATTACAGGCCAAAGGAATTATAAATACAAAGTTCTTGGGGACAGCAATAAGCTTGGTGAGTTACAGGAACAGCAAGAAGGTCATCATGGTAATAGGAAAATGAGCACAGTTGAGGTGGGTATAATATGGAGCTGGAGGTTCATATAGGGCTCTTTAGGCTAAGGGGAGTTTGTGTTTTATTCTAAGTGCATCAAAAAGCCATTGGAAGGTTTGGGGGTAGAGGAGTGATATGATCTAATTTATAATTTTAATGAATCCATATGGCTGCTAGGTGGAGAATGAGAGGTCAGGTGGGATGGGGGTACAAGAATGGTTATAGGAAGAACATCTAAGAGACTATTAGAGTAAACAAATGAGAAATGATAGTAGCTTGGACTAGTAGTAGAGACAGTAAGAGGTGACTATATTAGTGAAATATTTGAAGATAGAGCTGACAGGTTTACCATGATTTAGATATAGGAGATGAGACAAGAAGAGAATCAAGGATGACTCTGAAGTAGTGGGCTTATGTTGTTGGGTAGGTGATAATGCCATTTCATGGCTCCCCATTAAAAATTCTAAGCCAGGTGGGTAGAATGAGTCCTGTTAACTTTTCACCCCTTTATTCCATGTTGTCTTGAGGTGCAAGAGGCTATATCTGCTTCTAGCAGTTGGTATCTGTAATGAAAACCTTCCAATGCAACCCTTTTCTGCATGTATCTCAGAACAAGCAAAAACTTGTCAGGGCCAGAGCTACATAAACTGTCAGCAAAGAGAAAATAATTTTTTCTTGGGATCTGAGAAAATGAGAGAATAAACAAAGGGTGGCATTCTGATTTTGCAGTCCTCCTTTGCTCCTTGAAAGAAGCAGTTTGACTGAGTCATTAGTAAGTGGGATTGCTAAAAATGGCATTGGGTGAGGACCTGAAATGTTTTTTCTCTCGACCAACCTTCAAAGCCTAAGAGACTCCCAGAGATCGCTTCTCTGAACAGTGTATTATATTTCCATATTTCATCTAGTCTAAGAGAGAATATAAAAGGTCTTATGCATTCACTCTGGGGGCACTTCTCAGATTGACTTTACTAAAATAATTACCCTTTCTACTACTACAACCCCTTTCTTCTAAAGGTGGAAGAATTTGTAGTCCACAAACTCCTCACTATGTGATACCCATTTGAATCTAAATTAAGCCCTGGTGTGCCTCATCTCAATTTACCATACTCTGGCGCATATAGAGGTTGGTAACCATAGGCCAGAAGTAACCTAGTACAGTGTACGGTAATAGATCTCTAGTAGATTTATGAACTGCAACTGATTGGTGCATGAACATAGGCAAAAGACTTCTCTGAGAGCATTCTAAATTCTCATATTGGTTGGGAGCACCCTGTTTATCTGAATTCCTTCAGCCAGCAAAAGTTCATCCATCAGACCAGCATCTTGAATAAGTACCCAGGGAGTTGCACTGGAAAAAATTACTTCTAAGACAAACATTCCATCAGAATGATTAGAACCAAAATGCAAAATCATTGACTCCATGAAGATAATACCTAGAGCCATTTAATAATCCTGACAGTGGAATTTTTATATGCATGCTCTAAAATGTTCCCCCAAAAAGAAAGCTTATTAAATAGAATTTCAATCCACATACCTTGTCAACAATATTGGAAAAAATAGAAACTCAGATAGAAAATGTAATAGGGAGCCTTTCTGACATATCAGATGACTCATGCCCCTCCCCTCCTCAGAAGACCTCTTAAAGGCATAAGCCACAATTGCAGTCAGTCCTCAGCATTGCTTTGCATGACACTTGAACTTGAGGAAAACAGCATTTTGCTAACCTCTTGTTGCTGAATGTTTGACCGTAAGGCTTACTGTTTGCTTCTTTTTCATCTCAATCCTTGTGACTACAAATGCTATTATTAGTCATAAGATTGTTCAGTCACTTTTAAATTCCAGCCATGGTATTTGACTCTCTGGCCTAAATATAAAGGGAATTCAGACTCCTAATTATTTCTAAGGGGCCTAATTCTTTCTTTCACCTTTCCTATATACTTCAAATTTTCCCAGCCCCATATGGAATTGGGAACATAGCTTTTAGCAATGTATGCCCCTTAATCCTTCACTGAGCAGAGATAAAAACGTTTGTGTGAGAACATCCCTGGAAATGAATCTCAGCATTGTTACCAATGAGTTACGTCACTTTGGGAAAGTCATCAAACCTCTGTTTTGTGTAATAAATAGAAGATAATATTTACATGAAGGGTTATGATATAAATTATATATGTTACATGAAAAATTCCTGGCACAAAATAAGCCTTCAGTAAATAGCATATATTATTATCACTACATCGCTCCATTTTGTAAAGGTAGGAGCTGACTGAACATGATTTTCCATTTCAGCCTATGTCTGGCAAAGCTTATTTTAACCTTAAAATCTCTGATATTATGACTTTACTTTTCATGGCCATACAAAGTCATAACACATCCAATATGCTACTTAGAAGAATCGGTTTAAGAGAAACTCTAGCTATTAAATGAGTTTAGCCTGAAAATCTATCCTGGTTCATCCATCATAAAAGATCATATAAGTGCAAAAATGCAAAAGGAATCATGAAGTCATGAATCTTAGAGTTCGGAATGTCATTAGAAATCAAATGGTTCAATGCCTATTACCTACAGATGTAGAAACCGAGGCCCCACGAAGATAAGTAACTTTCACAAGATCACTCAACTTAGTGGTGAGCTAGTATCAGTTAGGTTTATAACTCGAAACCTCTCCTACTCTTTTAACCTAATGATAATCTTTAAGAGAGTTTGACTTGCCCAGTATCACAAATCAGTGATAAATTTGGGGCTAGGTCATTTGTTATCAGTAGAATTGCCCAATTCAGATACTCTCCAAGGGCACATCTAGCTCTAAATATTTTATTATTCATCTGTTATTCAAGGATACCCTTCATAACATGGGTACATGTTGTTCATCAACCTCCAAAATATTCTCCTCTTCTAGCCAGACCATTGCCTTTATGATCCCACAGATATTTATTCCATCGCCAAATCTTTCCCCGTATGCATAATGACTTCCCCTTTCTTCTCTCTGTATACAACTCCTATTCATTCTGCAAAACCCCGTTTCCCACCTCCTCCCCAATAACTTTCATTTCTCTGGCTTTCATGAATCTTCCTCTCTTCTGAACTCCTAGTCTCCAAGGTTAGTCCACACAACTGAGAACACAATCATCTACTGTGTAGGACATCCTCCCCCATTGTTTCTTGTGTACATCTTATCTACCCAATTAGACTGGCAGGCCCTTGAAGACAAGTACCATGGCTCAGTGGAGCAGAACACTGAGATGAATGCTCAATTAATAGTTGATTGGGCAAGGGGGCAGAGAGGAGAATAAACATTTTCTTGTTTCTGTAACCATTCTTAATAAACTTAAAACAGCTAAGTTTGATTGAGGTTTTGAAGTAATTACAACCAATTAGGGAGGATAGGGAAGGGCAGCAGATAGACTACTTGTAATCACATTCTACAATCTTTTCTTTGAAATGTAGAGAATATCCACTTGAGACTGCCCAGGAGACTGATAGCTGTTTCTAAAGGAGGTGTCCACTTCTGCATCATCAATTTCTGGAAATAAGTCTTGCCCTTAGAAGCATACCTTTTTTTCTGGGGTAAGAAAAACTTTACTGAATCCATGTGATGGAAGATGAATAATATGGAGCTCTATGAGCCAAAATTAGTAAAAGTAAGCAAACAAACAAAGTGTACTCACTCATATCGGAATGCCACAGCTTCATTGTATAAGCATGAATAAGCATGGGGCACATCTCAGGAAAAGGTTTCTTATTCCAGTTTCTTTTTATTTAGTATGTATTTACTGACTGCCTCATGATAATAATGATAATAAAAATTGAATATTAAGTATTAAATAAATATAATTAAAAAGTTAAGAGCCAAAGTGCAAGAGTTAAACAGTCTGAGTTTGAATTCTGGGTCTGTAACTTGGTAACTGTGTGGTCAAGTTATTAACATTTCTGTACTTTACATTCCTCACCTATTAAGTAGGAATAATAATAGTACGAATTCAGAGATTTGTTGTAAGGATTAAAATGAGGTAATACATGAAAAAACACTTAAGTGTGTAGCACATAGTAAGCACTCAGTAAATTTTATTTATCATTATTAGTATTAAATACAATGTCAGACACTGTTCTGAGCAATTTATACATATTTATTAGATATAAAATTTGTAAAAGTTTATGAGTGTGTTCACTGATATATTCCAACACCAAGAGGAGATCCTAGCCCATGGGGGGCTCTGAGTAAAAAATCGTTAAATGGATGAGTGGTTTCATTAACTCCTCACAACAACCTTACAATGTGCTAGTCTCTCAGAATACAACATTGAGCAAGACAGAGGCCTAACCTTCAGGTTTGGTGCAGAGAAAGGTGGGGGGTGGGGCATGCAAGGAAGGCAGAGAAGTCAACAGACGATTCTTATACAGGGTGAACGCTCTTTCAAGGTAATATAGGGCATTTGGGTGGAGGAATAAGGAATACCTAATTTAGACTCAAGGGAACAAACAAGGCTTTCTGAAGGAAATGACAGCCATACTGACATGTAAAAGGTGAGTAAGAGTTAGTCGGGTAAATTAGAAGTGCAGCAGTCCCCCCCATCCAAGGGGAATACATTCCAAGACCTTCAGTGGATGCCTGAAACGGTGGATAGTATTAAACCCTATATATACTGTGTTTTTTTCCTACCCATACATACCTATGATAAAGTTTAATTTATAAATTAGGCACAGCAAGAGATTAACAATAATAACTAATAATAAAATAGAGCAATTATAACAATACACTGTAATAAAAGTTACAGGAAAGCGGTCTCTCTCAAAATATCTTACCGTACTATACTCACCCTTCTTCTTGTGATTATGGAGATGACCAAATGCCTGCGTGATGAGATGATGTGAGGTGAATGACACAGGTGTTGTGACGTGGCGTTAGGCTACTGTTGATCTTCTGACCATACACATCAGGAGGATCATCTGCTTCTGCGCCGCAGTTGACCTTGGGGAACTGAAATCCAGGAAAGCAAAACTGCAGATGAGGGGGAAGCTACTGCAACAGCATACGTTCAGTCCAGAAGGTGAGAGAGGGGGTCACTTTCTTTAACTGTATGTAGCTCAGTGTAGATGCAGTGAGAGGGGAGAGAGGAGGAAGGACACTGCTGGGGTCAGCAGGTCACTGAGCATAGTGCCAGGGATAGGGACTTGATTCTGATGGCCATGGGACCGCTTCAGTGGCTTTAGCATTGTCATTCGTGGCTTCCGCCCTCTCTCTAGGTTCTCAGAATTCTAACAGCTGCTCTGAGCTAGATTAACTTTGATATTCATTTGCATATTTGCATATTTGTGAGTCCACATTGTTGCTAGAATTATAATCATTTATGGTTTTCAGACCCAGGCCTACTTTTTACCATCGTTGTGACAGAGGTCTCGAAGACCAAAACTCTCTTGAGTCTTACAGAGGTTGGCGGTTCTTACCAAGAGTAGATCCAGTTGGATCTGTTACTTTTGTCACAGAACTTGTCACTTGGCTACCTCACTAATACCACATTATGATTCAGTCCGTTGATCTCTCTGTGCTAAGTCTACAGCAAGGGTGGCAAGTTAATTTATTGTTCTGATTGGCCCAGCCTCAGAATGAGTATGTTTCATATTATTTTGTAGTATTTAATGACAGTGGAGAATTTTCAGGGATGAAGGTGAGTGACAAGACGTGGAGCAAAAAAGCTCCAGAATCCTACATACCTTTCATTTAACATGTTATGGATGCCAAATTTTAATGTGCACAAATACTGTATTACTCTGGATGACTTCTTAAGCGGTCCTCCGGCCAACTTGAATTTCTCTTTATCAGAATTCAAGGTGACAACTTTACATAAGGAGAATAATGACATATAGAGCTTCAGCAGGGGATTTCAAGGGAATTATATTCACCCAAAAGCAGCCTCTCATATAAATGAATCATATAAATTGGCATAAATATCTGAGAGAACCTAAATTAAAACAATCTTTTCCATCACCCATCACCCTGAGCCATGTGTGAATTGGTTTATCATTGAAGAATGAGCTGCTTACTGGTTAGTGCCTCAGGAAAATTCAAGAACAAGGCATGTGTTCAAAACTGGAATCTAATACTGCACTACGAGCTAAGAAAAAGCAAGCTTTGTTTCTGGAATTAAAAACTGGTGGTGGGGGGGAGGGGCTATCATTTAAGTCATGACCTTAGAAGGATGGTGAGGAGGGGCACCTGGGTGGCTCCGTCAGTTAAGCATCTGTCTTCGGCTCAGGTCATGATCCTGGGGTCCTGGGATGGAACCCCACATCGAGCACCACGTTGGGCTCCCTGCTCAGTAGAGCTCCCTGCTCAGCCCGGGAGCCTGCTTCTCCCTCTCTCTCTGCCCCTCCCCCTGGTTGTGCTCTCTCTCTATTAAATAAATAAGATCTTTAAAAAAAAAAAAGAGGGGGGGGATAGTGAGGAGTTTCAGAGAACCAAAAAAATAAAGGGAAAGACCCCCCCCCCGATGATTCCCTGAGCCCCACTTCCCCCTCACTATTTTGCTTTGATTTGAGTGTGATGAGAGGAATGAGGAGGGGGTAAGGGTGGGGCACTGGAGGTACAGAAAGGAATGATAAGATGAAAGGAGTGGTGGAGAGCACTCTCTAAACCATTCAGAATTTAGGGAGTAGAACTGAAGATAGAGGAACGCGAGCGTGCCATTCCCCTTGCTCACCACCAACACCAACACCAAGCCAGGAGGCACGCCTCCCGGTCAAAAGTACAAATGTCACCCAGGGACAAGTAGCGTCAGCTATGTGGTGCAAGACAGGACAAAACACGAGAAGAACCATGAGAAGTGTCAGCTGACTGCTAAGCAGACCCGTCAGCCAGCCAGCGAGTCCAGAACTTGCTTTGTGCTCGCTGCTGCAGAGGCCACCACCACAGCCCACGTGGCCAGGGCTGAGAGACGCCTGAGCAGAGGGGCAGGGTGAGGCCCAGAGCGGGGCAAGGCAGTGGCTGAAAACCCAGATAGATAGGTTGTTTGAGGCAGGCAATAAATTGCTGGCAATCTTATAATAGAAAGAGTGGCTCAAATTCGTAGTTTCATTCATCCCATTTTGATATCTGGAATATGATAAAATTCAGACTTCCCCCGTTTAATTAGCCATTAGGCTTGACAAAGAACATTTTTCAAGTCACCCAGAAAATGACGGGGAAGTAAGGTGTGTCTTCCAGAGAAGGAGGCCAGGCTGATGCATGAAAAGGCGAAAGAGCAGAAGAAAAAAGCCACCTTTAGTATAAAATCCCTGAGAACATTTCAACAGACACTGGGCTTTTTAACTGAAGGAGGTGATGTGGCTAACCCTGATGTGCCTTCAGATGCTTAATTCAAAGTTCAGCAAAAGTTTAGAAGGAAATGAAGTGAAAATTGATCACTCGGTACATAATCACTGGAGAAAGAGATCTGCCCTAAAAATATTTCTGCCATGGAATTTTTTCAATGTTCTACTTTTTTTTTTTTTTAAGATTTTTATTTTATTTATTTGACAGGGAGAGACACAGCGAGAGAGGGAACACAAGCAGGAGGAGTGGGAGAGGGAGAAGCAGGCTTTCCGCTGAGCAGAGAGCCTGACTCGGGGCTCGATCCCAGGACCCTGGGATCCTGACCTGAGCTGAAGGCAGACGCTTAACGACTGAGCCACCCAGGCACCCTTCAATGTCCTACTTTTGAGAATTCTTTCAATAATATAAATTTTTTAAAAATTCCATCCTACTTAAGTGTTTGAAAGGAGCTTTTATTTTTATTTTTATTTTTTTTTAAGATTTTGTTTATTTGACAGAGAGACACAGCGAGAGAGGGAACACAAGCAGGGGGAGTGGGAGAGGGAGAAGCAGGCTTCCCGCTGAGCAGGGAGACAGATGCGGGGCTCAATCCCAGGACCCTGGGATCATGACCTGAGCCGAAGGCAGACGCTTAACTACAGAGCCACCCAGGCACCCCAAAAGGAACTATCTTTTAAAGGGAACTTGATAAGTCATCACATTCTCAAAATGCTCATTTTGTTTGTGCTTTAAAAATCACAGGGCATAAAAGATGGGGAATATATCCATGTGGATAAAGATGGAGAATTACAGACTCCTTTCCCGTGGTCTGAAATCTATTTAATAAAAATATCCATATATAATATCAGTGGCCTTGCAAAAACATTCAGGCAATAAACTGAAAAATGATTTAGCACAGGCAAAAACGTGTATCCTTTGACATTAGTGTATCATATAAGCAGGAGTAAGTACCCAAGAGGACTTGTATTAACATATGTAAGTAATACCTTAATAAAAAATTTTTGAATAGAAATTAGAGTTTCTTGCTTGAGAAATCAATAATAGGATGATGCACACGGGCCACTGTGATTTTAAAAAATGATAGTTAAGGGGGAATAGCTGTCTTTTTTCTGGCCAGAGAACTGCTTAGAACATAACCATAGAATTTTTGAACATTAAAGGTGATGAAGACTTTAAAATTATTTTGTTCATCTCATTTTATAGTTGTGAAAAGCAAGGCATTCCCCGCATTGTGATATCCAGAGGTAATTTACTTGCCTGAGGTGCTAAGGGCTAGGAAGTGGCCATTAATAGATTGAGACTCTCATCTCACCCCTTCCAAGAAAGCATACAATATGAATTCCAATGTTCTTTTAGATTTTCATGACCTAATACATAAGATCTGATCAGAAACGGGACATATTAACATGTCAATATTTGTAGAATGAACCTCACAAAATCAACTATGGAAATTCACAATGTTAAGGAATCATAGCAGATTATCTTACCTTGAGAAAACAGAAGCCAGTGTAAAAAAAGACATTATAAATAGACGACATCTGAAACAGAGCTCCTTTATGTCCTGGAAGGAAGCCTGAGGTGTGTATTCAACAGTCCTATTTCGAGGAATGGCTCCTGGGGGCAGCACTCTCCTCCCTAATGAGGAAAGAAGAAGAGGAAATGAATTTAAATTACAATCAAAGGAATTTAAGTTAGATGGAAAGCTCTTATTGGCAGTGAAGGTTTTATAAACCCTGGGAAAAGATTCCTGGGGAGGTTTTCAAATTTCCTATCTGGATATTTTTAAGAGAAGAGAGATCCCTATCAGCCCAGGGTGGTTAAGGTAGAAACCTGCCTGGAATTTGCTTTCAGCTGAATTCTGTAAATCCAGATTAACTCCGGAGAGTGTTTACTATGTCAGAGACGGTAAATGCTAGACAATGGCAAGAAATGTTGTCCCTCAAAAAACAAAGAACTCACCCAAAGTAATCATTTCCTTGGAAAATCAATTGGCGTATGCTAGTTGGTTATAAGTGGAATGTACAATTATAATACATTCTGGCTTTTATTTTCTTTTTAATCTGGTTTCCAGTGGAAAGAAGGCTTATGAAATCTCTCTGGCAGCCTATGCCCTGCTTAATACGTTTTCACTTTTCTTCTTTAGGCTGTTTACAACCAAATCTCTTAGAAGAAACTAGCCAGAGTAGCAATATATGTGCCCCCGGGGTAAACACTTTCGAAGGAGAAAACCTCTCCCCACACTCCAGAAGAAAACTTCCTTCCTTCCTCATTGAAGGAAACAGATGAGAAGATGATTCCACTATTACCATCACCCTCTCCTTCCTTACCCTCACACAGGCTCCAGCAAGTTCTCTGCAACTTGCAGAATTTCCCCTTATTTTTAGCGCACAAACAGCACTTGCACTCACAGTTCATACTAAAATTCTCTCGTTTGTTGTACTTGTCTGTTTACACAGCTGTGCATCTGTTTGCCCCATTGTGTTAACCACATCTATCGTCTGGCTTTTATCGTGAGCTCCTGGAGGCGAGGAATGAAGTCTGTTTAATTTGCTTTGCACAATGCCGCGCGTGCACGCACAGATGGACCCCGTGTGACTGTGCTTGACAGTGATGGTTCCTGGCACGACTAGATGCTCCAAAAAATAATGATAAAATTTAAAACGTCATGGAATAATCGCAGTTGGAGAGAGGACTCAATTCAAAGAGTCTGTGTCATCGCGTGGTCCTGCCATATGCAGTACACTAACGTCATAATGGGTCTCAGGGACCACACTGAGCAGTGTGGACAAAGGTCCAAGCAACAACTGGACAATCTAAGTCAGGGTCTGAAACACACAGAAAACAAGCCTGCGCTTATTTGGAAGCTTGCCGTCCATCACGGCTCTCCTTTTCCTTGGCGTATCAGCCCAGTGTTGCTGGGCTTCTCAGCTCAGAGCATCATCTGTCAGTACCCACTGCCATAAGAGGTTGTTATATTTGACACTCCATCGAAGACTATCAAGTTCATATAGTATCTTGGTCTTCTGATTTCTTTGTTTACAGCCCAGAAAGAACAAAAGTCATTTTCACTATAATTAATAATTCTTCCTTCCTACCAATCCTGCACAGCTGGCCTCCAGCCTTACTTTATACCAGTCTTCCTCAGCGACCCAAGAGGTCCTCAGTGACCCAAGAGGACAGAGATGAGTCAATCCACAATTCTGAGTTGGGTTAAAAATTTGAAATGCCTATTCATTCCTAAGAGTCTCAAAGTTACATCAAAGGGCAAAATGATGAATGAAAACCCTTCCTTCAGGGGAAGCACAGGAAATGACATTTCATTTAATTCAACAAATATTTTCTAGGCACCAATTATTTTTAGGCACACTTGCTGTGGGCTGCGGAGGGAGAAGGGAGCAAAACATTCTCTTCAAAATGTGTGTGTGTGTGTGTGTGTGTGTGTGTGAGTGAGAGTTAATTCAAGGTTTGAACAACCTTAAATATAAGAAGATTGCTTTATTGTCGGATCATGGTGAGGATTAAATGATGCAATAAATATGTAAAATATACTTAGCACAGAGCCTGCCACATAAGACATTCTCAATAAGTAATAGCTGTTACTATTATTACCGAGTTATGCCTTCCTTTAGAGCAATTTTTTGAAGAGATCCCCCCTTGGAAACCGAATTTGACCTTAGTTTATGCGCAAAATAGTCTGATTGTTATAGGGTTAGGGGAGCCATCACATTCAAGTGCAAAAATAACCTATCATCTAGAACGTGGAAGTAAATATCTTTCCACCAAAAATGGAACTCAGTCATGTCCTGATGTCCAGAGAGAGTCTGGTTCTCATCCTGTTTTTCCTACGAAGGTTCTGGGATGTTTCAGAACCTCAATCATATCCCAAACACACACAGCATCTATTTTCCTTCCTGCTTCCTCCTACCATGGTTTGGATCATAGTTATTCCATAAGACAAGTGACTAGAAAGACACACTTACTTCAAAGGTACATAAAATGATTATTTTAGAGCATGATTTTAATTAGTTGGCTGCTACTGAATCAGTATCATCAATTAGTCTTACACAAGAATAAATCAACTTTTGGGGGCCAGGGTGGCTCAGTCGGCTAAGCATCTGCCTTCAACTTAGGTCATGATCCCAGGGTCCTGGCATCAAGCCCTGCATTGGGCTCCCTGCTCAGTGGGGAGTCTGCTTCTCCCTCTCCCTCTGCCCCTTCCCCCACTCTTGCTCTCTCTCTCACTCACTCTCTCTTTCAAAAATAAATAAAATCTTTAAAAAAAAAGAATGAATCAACTTTTAGGGCACCTAGGTGACTCAGTCAGTTAAGCGTCTGCCTTTGGCTCAGGTGCTGATCTCAGGGTCCTGGGATCCAGCCCCATGTCAGGCTCCCTGCTTGGCAGGAAGTCTGCTTTCCCCTGTCCCTCTCTGCCCCTCCCCTGCTCATGCTCTCTCTAAAAAAAGAATAAATCAACTTTTAGCTGGAGGTAAAATGAAGTCAAATTTTACTCACCCAAGGTATTTTTTTAAACTTACCCAAAACAAATCGCTTCACAGGTCAACTTGATGAGGTATGATGTTTAACTTATCAGTTACTCAATTGCATAGATAAACATATGAATGGACCATAATGCAAATGACAAGATGATTGAATCCAAGCATGTCACAACAGAGTTGACCCAAACAAAGGAATCCACTAACTTTGTATTTTTTGGTTCAGGTTCAGCAGTGCCCTATGGTGCCAAATATCCGGATAACCAAAAGGAGACATCAAGCTAGGAGAGCTCATACATGTACTTCATACATGACCACACCTTGAATCACCAGGATAGTACCAATATTTTATCCTGTCTGAAGGTTCATCCAATGGCTTCATTTGAAAAGGGCTATAATCTCTTGGCATGGATGAGGAACTTCTGGGAAACATTTCATATATTTCTTTTTTTTTTATTTTATTATGTTATGTTAATCACCATACATTACATCATTAGTTTTTGATGTAGTGTTCCATGATTAATTGTTTGCATATAACACCCAGTGCTCCATGCAATACGTGCCCTCTTTAATACCCATCACCAGGCTAACCCATCCCCCCACCCTCTCCCCTCTGGAACCCTCAGTTTGTTTCTCAGAGTCCATATCATACTATCTATTGCAAAAGTGTCAGAAAGATGCACCTAGAATGAAAATATCATAGACTACTTTCTGTCAAATATCACCTCTTAAGTTGTATGATGAGGGCCTAATTTTTTATTTCAACCTGTGAAGCTGCAGCTCTCCAGTTCTCTGAACTAAAGTCACTAATTCTCAAATTTATTCATATATTGAAGTGTCAATTAATTTCTCACTTCTACTTTCCTGATTCCAAACTAATAGAACCCGAAGATTTCAGATATACATTAGCTATTTAGATCTTTTCTGTCCTTTCATCTTCCAGATCATTTAGATTTGGCTTCTTTGAACCGTGTGATCATAACATGGATCTTGTAAATAAAGGAAAATTAATGTCTCTCTAACCATAATGTACATAAAAGAAGGCCAGTGATCCACCAATCCAGACCTTCAATAGTGGCTTTAGTACAACCTCAGGATATTGTCTTTTCTTTTTTCCAATTTATCAGGACTTTGTTGATAATTCATAATTGAGCCTGTTTTAGTAGAAATAGAATTCTCAATCCTAGTTTATATCTTAGGCAGTACAATCTTAAGTTTTTATAAAAATCAGCTGAAGGATGAAGTAGTTCCTTCAGACTCAGGGGAGAAAGGGAAATGGGCCCTTACACCCTCTAGTTCTCCAAACATTATTAATGAAACCAAATCAGATACACTACTCTATGAAAAGGTAAAAATAGCTTCCAGATGAAATCAGAGAGGGAGACAAACCATAAGAGACTCTTCACTATGGGAAACAAGCTGAGGGTTGCTGGAGCGGAGGTGGGTGCAGGGATAGGTAACTGGGTGACGGGCATTAAGGAGGCCACTTGGTGAAATGAGCACTGGTTGTTGTATGCAATTATTGAATCACTAAACTCTACCCCTGAAACTAATAATACACTCTATGTTAATTAAATTGATTTTAAATTAAAAAAAGAGAGGGAGGAAAAAATAGCTTCCAGAAACCTCAAATTGCCTCACCCAACTGTCTTTTTCTAAATCCTGGCACCTTTAAATCATTCAGATGCACAGTTTTAAGTAACTCAGATGCCCAATTTAGTAGTATTATTAATCGATGAACATTTACCATGCTCCAGACAACTGCCTGAATCAGTTAAGTAAAACACAGGTTGAAAAATTTGGAACTAAACCCTGGGATAATGTCAGTGGGATAAGAATAGGCGGTTCCTTCATCTTGCTGCCTGATCCACTGACCTTCCACACTGTGTGAAAGAACAGGATCTGTCTTCTCATTGCCTTTACTCATTTGTTGCACAGTTATAACGATTAAATGAAACCATAGAGATAACACAATTAGCAGGACTGGCCCAAAAGACATGTTTAATAAACATGTATTTCCTTTCTCTTCAAGAATCATAAGAATGTGGCCAGCCTGCTTTGTGGAGGAAATTTAAAACTGGCGAGGACAGACTATGTTGAAACATTTATCCAAACTTGCGCCTGAGTGTCTCTGAATGTTAT